ACGGCATATTTACCCATTCACATCTGAAAAATAGAAATCACTTTGGGCGGAGATACGGAACGGTAAGCATTCGTTTTTTTTGTGGTTTGCTTGTTTGATTCATGGTTGTCAGTGCTTGTGAATGCAAAACACTATGTACCGTTTGTGTTACGCGTGAGATTTTTTAATCTCTGAAGTATCGCATGTTATACCGGAACACTGAAGCTGTACGAGATGTGAGTCAAGTAGTTTGACGATACGGTCACATCGTTTAAACCTTCCCTGATCAACATGTGGTACAGCATGCGACCGAGGCACCTTCTCATTTCCTAACCAAGATTTGCAAAATTCAACAATTGTGAAAAAAACAAACATGCTTCAACATTCGTTGATCTCAAAATATTCCGATACTTTTCGATCTGATTCGCCTACAGCCGTATGACTAAAGTATGTGCGTCGGGGGCTAAAGAAGGCTAAAGTTTGATGGGGAAAAATGTACAATGTCAGAGCCATTCATTTGCCCCCAGACTGTGCAGTATGTGGTATTCTTTACTACCTCCCATTGTTTCTGTGACCACAATTGATTCTTTCAAGCATAAACTGGATGAAACATTATTATGTCTTAAATTTCAACATCCGTAGAAGTACACAAAACAATGATAATCTGTGATATACCCCATCTGAAAATTGGTCCAGTTTCAAAAAAAAGAACCATATGACGTAAGAAAAGCATCCGTTTGTAGGTATCTTTTATGATAGAACTTTGAGTTGGGATGTCACGTTCGGAAAAGATCTGTTAACGTCATGTATGCCCGGAGTTAGGTATGGGAAAATTCTTCGGCAATGCACACTCATGACTCAACACGGGACTGGAGTCGAAGAATGTGTGCGTGTGTGTGTATTAGTCAAATAGGCATTGAAAATAAGTCGAAATACAGGATCGATGGTCTTAGAGGACAGACGGAGCAGATGCGAGTGTTTGTAAAAGTACAAGGTCAGGTGTTTCACCATTTGCCGCAGTAAGCGAACAATGATCGTCGTTGCGATGTCCACTGTCGATTGAACAAGCACTTTTATGGTTAAGACTAATTCACATCGTGAACAGATGACCTGAGCCAATAGGCACAACAAATTTGGTACAAAACGGATAAAAAAGAAGAGGATTCCCGGAGCAGGAAAAGCGCATCCAAATGATTGACGTTAGGTTGAAAAAAAATTTCGCTAAAACACTGGATGGGATGTTTACTGCTATTTGCACACAAAGTACTGATCTTCACTAACGAGACCATAAAACCATACCTGCGAAACCAGTCAGACGTTCAACTTTCCAAATGAGGGGATACATTTTTCTCCATCACAGGGAATAAAGTGGGGGTCCACAAAAGTGTGCAAGCCAAAAATCACCGCAACGCACATGCAATTCCCCGAAGCACATACGGCAATGAATAACTCATTACACAGCACGGAAATTGAACAAAGATCTACCAAACCACTTCATTTGTGCAAATCCATTCTCCTTAGGTCACGGAATACAGGGTGTGTTTGTGTGTGGGAGAGGGCTGGGGTGAGAAAATCCCCCGTGTCACAATATGTGAAACATACTGTAGCCGGATCTCGCTACAAGATTAGTCTCCGAATGAAACTCATCTGAGGTTCTGAGACGTAAACTTATTTGCAATTCAGAAAACTATAGGAATGCTCGACCATCGCGGTGCCTATACAAAGGTGCCGGAAAAAATTGGGGTGACTATAGTATTTTCTGTCGTGTGATAGCCTGTCATAATATTTGAAGAACAATTGACATTATTACCGTTAAACAGGGGTAAAGCCGAACTACGGAAGAAAAACAACGCTGGGGGTAAATCACGGCACGGAGAATGAAATATGTAATTCAAAACAATCAATTTACGGTCTCATGAAACACTTTGCATCAGTTTTCAAACAATCCACCAGTCTGACCGCGTCTTCTGTTTTTACAGTGTTGAATCCACTTCGGGATGCTCTGTTGATTTTTCAATAGCATGGGATTTCGATAATTACATCGCATGCTGCTCATATAGCGTGAGTACCTCACAACGAAATGATCTACGGATCTTAAATGATTGATCAAATCTCCTAACCGATCGTCTATGGCTCTTAAAAGATAGAATATATCTTTTTACAGTAATATTGATCCTATATGGAGCGGTAATCACAAATTCTACAACCAAATTGTTTTGCAACGGATTGTATTTTTAGGATGTTGCCCAGCCACACATCACCTGTTCACCATGCTCAATTTGTCACTCACGATTCGGCGTACGGTTCAAAACACGGCTTAAACCCCGTCAAATTTGAGGTTAACTATTTATTCCGTCAGTCCGTCCGTGATATACGGAATGGATAAAACAAATTCCGAGTTGCAAATACATGTTGTTCTATTGATATCGTCCTAGTTATCTAATAATTGCGACTGATTTATGTTTAATAAGCTGCTTGAGTCGAACAAGCAGTAAATAGAGTGCAGCACAACACAGACCATTTTTGGTGACTTTTAATGCCCAGGAGATTCGTCCGATTGCAATAAGGCCGCATTTTAAGTTCGTAAACTGAATAAAATCTAACATCAAGAATGCTCAACAAGAGGCTACCCAGTTCATCGCTGGGAGCGGGACGGCGACATGGTAGGAATGGGTATCTAGTACGTCGGCTTGCATCCTCAAGCAATACGTGAAAGCCCGTCAACCGCCAGGGCTCCAGTCTGATTCCATACTTGCAACTCAGGCTGATCTCGCGTGTTGATCTTTGTTAGGACGGAGCTCACAAAACCCGTCAAGTCGCGCTCGGAATCGTGTCACGCCAAGAGTACGCTCACCACGCCCAAGGTGAGCCGATTCCGGATTGGATGACTGAGACGAATCAGACCAATCCGATCGACCAATCGAAATGTCAAGGGTGCGATCTGATTGGTGCGTCACCACATCTTATCCGCACGCCCAATTTACCCTGTTCGATTTACGTATTGCATCAAGATCACAGAATACAGTTGGACTGTTGTTCTCCAGTGATGTTCTCTCTTCCCCCGTATTATTGCTGGGGCTAAGGAAGAGGAACGCGTGTCCATGTTATCTCTAGGCCGGACAACAATCTTATCACCTAACTCATATATATATATATATATATATATATATATATATGTATATATATATATATATGACTATTTCACCAATCCCAACGGCGTTGCAATTTATCCTCAGTTCCATCCAATCAATTGAAAATTCTGTTTCCTGACAATTGACAGTGTGTCACATTCTGATTACACACACGTATTTCAAAGAGGAAGCTTTTCGCACGGATAAATGACCGTATCAGGCAGACAATATGCAATGTTTGAATGAACTGCCCAGGCATATTTTTCTTCAAAATCTTGATATGTTAGGGAATTTCCTCAGATGAAGTTGCCGACTAAATAAACATCAGAAAGAGAGGGAATTCGGGTAAGATTATGGCTCCAATATAGATAAGGATAGGTTTATCGACAGAATGGTTTGGTGAACTTGGGCGAATCTTTTTCCGACCTTCACGATCTTCGAAGGTTATCCTTTTTTTAAAATAGGAACCAATCACCAAACCCGATTTATTGCAAGGACCGCAGTCGGTATGCACAAACTACACAAACACTACCCTCACAAGGGGATCATTTTTCGTGGATAGAGCATAGTTGATTAATCTTTTCCAGAATGTGTTGCACTTTTCTATGTAGGAAATATTTTAAAAAAACTAGGTAAAATATTTTCAACATTTTCCATAGACCCGGGAAGTCCATGAAGGAGGTTTTCGGGATTTAGGCTTCTATATGGATCAATAAATTTGATTAGCAT